TCAATCAGTTGCATTAAATTTACATATGGATGCAGAGAAACTGTCAAGAGCGGTGTCCAAGTTGTAAGTCTCTCATTTTCATTTACTTAACTCACTGTAACAGCTAGCCTAGATAAAGAGGCCTTATGAGACCAGGAGACCATATTGTGATAGAAATTGATTCCACAGGTGCCATTTAATACCTGTTTAAAAGTAAATAAATAAAGAAGATGCTTAATTCCTGCTTCCTTTTGGCTCAACTAGGAGCCTTAAAAAATGCAGAATAACGTATTTGTTCCTAAGTTGGGCATGGAAGCTCAGAACAGTTACTATGTGATGACTCCTTAGTAAGGGTCTGTTGAAGTAAATGTTTGCACGTAGGTACCACAAAAATACATTTTACAAGTAATTCTGCACAATATACAAGTTCATATGGGAGAAAATGTCTTTTCAGCCATGTATACATCCTAGTTATTCCCCACAGGTACTAGTAATGTATCTAGGAAAATCAGGTTCAGTAGTCTTTCCCTGGATTATAGTTGTGAGGTTTAGCAAAGATCAGTGGTACATGAAACTGATTTAACTGTACATTTAGTAGCTTAAAATATAAGGAACTGCAGTTGTAACAAGCCTTAACAGGTTTGTTACTACTTATTTTGTTGTGAAAGCTTTAAAAGTTTTCCTCGCAAGCAATGGCGTTAGCACCTAGTCTAAAAAGCACTGGTCACTTGCCTAAGCAGTGACAAGAAAATAGATTTTTGTGTAGCCTACTACCAAAAGAAAAAAAAAGAAAAGGTTTGTTGCATAGAGAAATAGAGTTTTGCAATATTTGTAGTCAAATAATTGTCAAAATAAAATTACTATGGTCAAAAGTACTACTGAAAACTAGGATTTAAGAACTATTAGTGTAAGGTTTGCATTCACTTGGTACTTGGGTTGGTTTAAATGAGGCTTTAATAAATCTATTGTAATTGCTCCAATTAAAGTAAAGGAGGGTAGTACCAACTTTGCCTGTTGCTGGATCTGAACACTTTGAGGATGGCTGGATTGGCATTGTGGAACACTGGCAGAAGTAGTAGTTCACAGCTGAAGTAGATGTTTTCATTTGAAGAAGACACATTTCTGTCACATGGAAGTGTTTTTCAATGAGTTTTTCATCAAAACTTTTATCTTTTCTTTGGTTTGCTTTCTGGATGATTAATTCAGTAGCACTGGCATAATTTTTTCCTTACTTTCACCTACTACAGATGAAGGCAAAGGAATTCTAGATGTCCAATGAAACCTAATTGTAAAGCATTTTCTAAATTCTGGAAGGTAAATTTTTAGTTGGGGCCAAGATATTTGTTCATATTTTTAAGTAATGCATATTTAAGATTCTTAGAGTCTTGGGAAGATAGTTTTGTTTTAAAAATGAAAACATTAATTTAAGCTGTGTTTCATTTGAACACAAAAGGAGAAGCAGGCTTTTCAAAACATATAAAGTTTATTCAAGAACTCAGTTTTCAGTTAATTCTTGCAATTTCCTTTTGCATAAAGCTATATAAAATAGAAAATTATCAGTACTAAAGATGTGAAATAGAAACAAAGAGGGTTGTTGTTTGGGCAATCAACAATAACGTTTTATTACCATTTTGATATTTTTACTTTTCCACTGTGTAACAATCCAAACCTTTTACAAGAACTGCTGTAAATAATTCTTTTTGAGGGAAAAGAATATGCAAACAATGCAGTTCACTATGCTGGATAGTGGGTTTTGTTTTTTCTTTTCCATTTGGATAACACTTCTGAAAATAAACTAGAGAAGTGCAGACTCTCACTTTCCTGTGCTATAATTTTCTGTTAATCTGTATTTACTGAAGTTTGATTCAAATAGAAACAATAATTTTGAAGTATTAAGGAGAGATGGAAAGACATTCACATGGAATTATCAGAAATGATAATTTACTGATGCATGAACTATATTGAAATTAACAACAATTTAGATTATAGCATCAGCTGATTACCCTGTGGTAATTTTATCAGAAACTTTTTTCCTCCACTAACCAAAACTGAAAAAAAAAAACCCAAAAATGTTCTTCAGTTACCATCCATGCTTTAAATACCTGCACAACTTACATAATGCAACTAAACTTTCAATGTCAATTTTGTAGCATAATGAAGAATGAAATTTAAACAATGACAAGGGGGAAGTTGGTGATTTGGATGATGGCAGAGCTGAGGATACAGCAGACCTGTTTAGTTGTCTGTGGTACTCAGAATCCACCTGTGAACTGAGGCAAGTCCAAAAGGTTTATCTGCGCAAGAAAGGCAGTAGGTATTGTAATGTCTAACTGCGGTGCCTTGATGCTTAGTAGTGATACTAGCCAGGGAAGCACACCCTGATTTTCCTAGCTGTATACCACAAATCTGTGAAAATGTTAGCTAAACCAGAGGAACTTCAATGCAAGAAGCTGCAAAGGAAGTGGCTTCCAAATACCCTGCAGTTTAGGGGTTAAGTTACTCTTGTGATATGTGGAAAGCCTGAATTCAATCTCTTGCTCTGTATAAACTGGCAAATCACATTTGAAAATGTGCCTCCAAAACAAAAGCTTAAAATGCGTAACTTGAAAGGATATGTTTCCACTGCCAGCAGAATAGGCAGACTGTAACTAATATACTTATTTACAATACCTGGCTAACACTGAGGGATTAGATTGGGTGAATGAGTAGTTTGTTACCACATGGAAGTGGGCATATGTTCCTTGTTGTCAGAAACATAGGTATAAGTCAAATGCCTTTGAAACTAGATAGTGTCTGAATTCTCTAAATACTGGAGTCCTGGTTTTGCTGTTATACTACATCTGTGAAAGACTGTAGACATTTCAGCCCTCCAGGTTATTTGTAGCAGCAGTTTTTAGGTATCTGACACATGCAATGGAATTTGCTGCCCTTTATTTTAATGCTCATAATTTCTATCCAATGAATAAGCTAAGTCTGCTCATAATTGGGTTTGAAAAGCTTGTCCATGGAGCTGGAACCACCTAAACTGACTTTAAATGAATGCTGAAAACAGGTTTCTGTTAAATTCTGCCTCAGCTGAGTGCTTAGTTGTAGAGAGAGAACTAGTCAAGAGATACTCCTCTCTTTAGGGCCAAAAGCCCTGGACTCACTCCTGAAGGTAGATGTCTACGGCCAGGAAAAGGGAATTTCAGAAATGGAAGCTGTGCGGCTTCGCGCTTCTCCCTTAGGCAATATGTTAACAATGGGACCACTCCCCAAATAACGTGGGAGACCTTGATTCACTTGCCTCCTTTGCCTGAAGGGACCCAAAAACTCAGCTTGAGCATGTCTCCTACTTTTCCTATTGAAGCTCTTCGAGTTTGCATTAATTGCTGACTGATCCACCCTGCTAATGAAGAGCAATTTTGGTATTGTACATTAGACTTGTTGGATAAATTACAAAGGCAGCCCTTAAAGCAGGGACTACCCAGGTCTTTACCACAGAAATAGTGGCTACTGTTAACTGAGGGCTCTTTCTCAACAGTCTTTTGTGGTTATCTGGGATCATAACTGAGTGTTGGGTTCTTTGCTTGTCCACCAGAGCTGAAGTAACAAGTTTAAGAAACGGCGTAGTCTTGGTCGTTCTTTTGTTCTGATTCTCCTGCCTTAAGGATGATGATTCTTTTCTCTGAAGGATGGACATTCTGTGGTTTAATAATGATTATGGGTTAAAATCTCTGTAAGTAGACACCAAGGCACTATGTGATAGCAGCTCCTACCTGGCTACTAATATCGTCAAGTATATGCAAAACAGCATCAAAGGAGTTAAAAATCCATGAGGTTTAAACAACAAACTACTTAACACAAATCCTGCTACCCAGAGGTGTGCAAACAATTTATTTGTGTTCAGTGCAACACTGTACAGGGGAATGGGTCTGCAGTTGTGTTTCTGCACAAGGTCAATAAATGGTTTGTCAACTCTGGTGAGCATTTACTTTGTATCCAAAGTCCTAATGTAAAAAATAATAAAGAGTAGTTTTACTCTCTCCGCTTGTGATGGAGTCCCACTCTGACAGGATCAGTCAACAGCTGCAAATAGGAGTAAAATAATCCTCTTAATTGAATCCTGTGGGCTGCAAAAAAAGGATTTTTTTTCCCCACTGCCCAAACAGTTCCTTGTGTCAGACAATCTGGAGCCACATTTAGGGTTTTTTTCTTTTTACTAGTCCATCTGTCAGAGCAAATTGCCTTGTTGAATTAGCATGTCCTAAAATACAGAAGGGTTTAAATGAGCACGATGGCACAGGCAATACAAAAAACCATTGCTATTATAAAATATACGAACATATTTCTCTGTTGTATAGTGAACAGATTTGAGACATGGGGAGGTGTAAATTACCCCTGGAGCTTTTTGTCTTAGGTATTTTTATATGAATCTCAGTAATAAGCAAATCAGCATATATGTTGCCAAATTAAAACAGAAAGCTACTAGCAAATTAACACCTTTTACACAGAACACATACGATATTTTTCGTATCTTGTGTTATTGCAAGAACAAAATTGCATAGACCATTTGCTGGCACTTTCTGAATTTCCGAAATAATGCTTTGTCTTAGCAGATAGTTCTAGTTCCCTCAATTTAATTTCACCCACTAATGCAGTTAAGTGTAGTATGCATGTAGTGAGAGAAAAAAACCACAGAGCTGAAAAATAACAATGACATAATTGTCTGACTAAATAATAGTTCAGCAAGGAAACATATTCCTTTTTTTTTTTTTTTTTTTTAATGCTCTCTGTAAGGCTGTTTTCAAAGTGTTACTGACAGAACATATAATTTGATTGAAGTCATTCTTCTGAAGTTGAAATGTCATTTGTGCTCTTCTTCCCCTTTCACCCTATAGTCCAGAATTGTAGATTCAGATCAGTTTCCTAAACTGAAGTACTTTGTTTTTAAAATTCTGAAAATTCTGCTTTCGGCAACGCTCTTTAGCAATAATATAAAACTCAGACTAGCAAGGGGGCATGCAGCCTTTTCTGGTGCCTCACTGGCAGACGCGGCTGTATTCTTGGCAAGTGGAGCCCACGCCAGCCACTGACAAGTAGAGCTTTCCATCCGGACACACGCAGATTTCGTAGAGCCCCTGAGAAATACTGGATCCACCCCTTGTCCCCTCAGGTAATTTGGGCAGTCGCACAGTTTCAGCATCGAGCAAAAGCTGCATGGGGGAAAGCAGGAGAAATGGGCTCATTAGAAAGAATAATGCAACAGTGTGCCGTAGAACAACTTGACTTTGTCTAGGCAGTGGTTTAAGAATAACCTTTGACCGAGACTCATCATATACAAAGATGCTCTGAGGTCTAGGCTTCTGGCAGACACTGGATCACAGGAGAGGGATAAGCTGGTGCCCATCCTTTTCCTTAGCAGAAACCTCATGAAGTTCAACAAGACCAAGTGCAAGGTCTTGCATATGGGTTGGGGGAATCTCCAATACAGATACAGGCTGGGTGGAGTGGATTGAGAGCAATTGTGCAGAGAAGGACTTGGGGGTGTTGCTGGATGAAAAACTGAACGCGAGACATCAAGGTGTGCTTGCAGCCCAGAAAGCCAACTGTATCCTGGGCTGCATCAAAAGAAGCATCAGCAGCAAGTTGAAGGAGGTGATTCTCCCTGTCCACTCTGCTCCTGTGAGACCCCACCGGGAGTACTCCGTCCAGCTCTGGAGTCCTCATCAGAGGAAGAACATGGATCTGTTGGAGCAAGTCCAGAGGAGGGCCATGAAGATGGTCAGAGGGCTGGAGCACCTCCCATATTAGGACAGGCTGAGAGAGTTAGAGTTGTTGAGCCTAGAGTCAGGGTTGTTGAGCCTGGAGAAGAGAAGGCTCTGGTGGGGGGGGGCAGGGACCTTATAGAAGCCTTCCCAGCCTTCCAGTACTTAAAGGGTGCTACAGGAGAGATGGGGAGGCACTCTTGATCAGGGAGTGTGGTGATCAGAGTGTAGTTTTAAGCTGAAAGAGGGTAGATGTAGATTAGATATTAGGAAAAAAGCTTTTACTGTGAGGGTGGTGAGACACTGGAACAGGTTGCCCAGGGAAGCTGTGGATGCCCCATCCCTGGAGGTGTTCAAGGCCAGGCTGGATGAGGCTTTGAGCAACCTGGTCTAGTGGAGGGTGTCCCTGCCCATAGCAGGGGGGTTGGAACTAGATAATCTTTAATGTCCCTTCCAACCTAAACCATTTTATGATGCTATGATAAGAGATGGGACCCCTGCCTGCACACTGAATATCAGGGCATGGGTGCTGCTGCTGCCACTGGACCTAGGTCTGTCCCGGCCTGAGTGCTGAAGCCTCGCCGCGATGCCAGCTGGTTAAGGCTGGACGTACAGGTTGGCCTGGATTTCCTCTGTGAAAGAACTGGCACTGTACAGCCTTGCAGAGGGAGTAAATAGGCAGCTCATGTTGCATGCTGTTGGTGATGGGGCAGCTCTGAATGATGTCTGCAGAGCTTCACTCCCTAATTTAGCACTTCTGGGGCTGAGTGTCTACCTCTGGGCCAAGGACCCCCTTGAGGTGCCTGGGGATCACTGTGCTAGTGGGGAGCTGAGCGCTATGAGAGTTTTATTAGAAAGCATTTCTCTAAGCTAATACAACATTGTGTCAATTGGTAATATTTAACCTGACCCATAACTGAAAGTTTTGGCACTATTAATTTTAATATCCTGTCTCCTACAATCTGAGAAATTAAATTAACACAACTTGAAAAAATACTTGCTGTTACTAGTTATATTCACACAGCAAGATCAACCATAGCTGTGGAAGCAGAAGGGCTTGTACTCACCACACCATCACTGCTGTGTAGTTTGATATCCATCTGGGAAAGAGCTTCAATATTCCCAGCTTGCGCTTTGATGTTAATTCCTCGTGGTGCATCCATGCTCAAAGATCGAGTTGGTGATTCCAGCCTGAAAGCAAGAACAGGAAATCTGACAGTCGCACATTCTCATACGTTCCTTTATTTTTGAAAAATAAGTAAACTTTGAACAAGCACTTGAAGGATCTCGCCTGAAGTCATATAAAAGATGGAGCTTTTTTTTTCTTCAGGCAGACTTCAAAAAGGAGGTAGCTATTTAAAAACACCAAAGTATCCCAAATGAAAAAACATAGATGAATTCATAATACAAATTATTTCAGATTTCAGATTAAATTATTTTCATTTATTATTTCAGAGATAGCTTCTGATTATTTCAGTATAACAGTAATTTATTCTTTGAAACTGAAACCTATTTTTACATTCTTTAGTTTGAATTGATTTTCATTTTTGACATAGTAAGATATTGAAATTAATACAATTAGTGCAGTCTAGAAGTTTTTTAATCAACAAGAGTTTAGACAGTGCTATCAGTAGGACCAAGATTTCACTTAGTGTGTGTGTGTGAGTTTAACTAGATGGCCTTAAAAACCAGTAAGTTTGTTTGAAATAAAAATTATGCACTATAACAGAAAATTGCATACTCTACAGTGCCACAAGATGGCAGGAAGGTACTGTGTTAGCTGAGTAATCACCTCGTTTGGTCAGCTGTGCAGGATTAATGATTTTAATTTTCCAAAGAGATAATGCTTTGTTTCTTCAGAATGTTGGTATCATTTCCATGATAAGTAGCAGGGACAGAAGTATTAATTAAAAATCACGAGAATGAAAGAAAAAGCCCAAGCTCAGTGACAAGCTTTGTCAGGAGGCACTGGGAACACTGCAGGATCACAGCTGATACCTCCTGGGTTCTGTTCCTGAATACTGGCTCACCCTTCCTGATGACACCAGCCTGAATTTTACATTATCAATCAGCCAATATTAAACAGGTGAATATTAAGGCTAGACAAAATGAATCAACCAGTAGGCCCAGGTTACTTTACATCCATGTTACTTCTCTATTCTATATGTTCCATGGACACACATAAAATAATGTGGGCTTCATCCATAATGCAGAACTCTGACACATGTCCCCATTCCCACGTCTGCATCTGCTCACCCCCGTGTCTTCTGGAGATGCAGAAGGGTGGGGGTGTTTGTGTGCAGGCGTATGCACGCGCACTCCCAGCAGATGCAGTGCTGGCTCCACGTGTGCTCAGCAGCTGCTGATCCGGATGGGTGGGGGACTGTGCCCCACAAGGTCCTTTACGAGATATGCGTCAGGTAGTGAGGATAGATGCTGACTGCCAATCACACGCTAAAGGAATGAAACGATTTTATACAGAATCCTGATGTAGCTGTCTGATGGGTTTCATTTACTCCGACTGCTTCAGGTCTTCGTTTTTTTGCAGTTGCTTCATTAAAACTAGAATTTAGAAGAAGTCAGTTTGTACTTGTGAGAAACTTCAGTTGTATCTTAGAATTCTGAAGCAGCTAAATACAGCTGATATCTTAAAACCTAAACCCATGATATCTGAGCACAGTCAAGCAGAGTCACTGAAACTTCATTTTTTATCCTCAGATCTGAAAATAACTCAGGCAATATTGGCTTATCACTGCTGGCCAGAGGTAGCAGAAGATTCTATCTTCCTTGATCTTCAAAGGTCTCTTCCAAACCAAACCGTTCTATGACTTCGTGTTTCTGTGATCTGCCTCTCCCTGACATCTCCCAGGTTAGTCACCTTCAATTACTTTAAATTCCAGACTGATAATTTAAATTCCTAACAATGGATAACTGCATCATGGTTCCATATTAGGACGATATGCATAAAACAGTTTGATGCCTTATCCCATGACACTGTCATGATCATGCTGAGTAAAAGGCCACGAGTATGAGCCTGTTCTGCATCAGACCTCTAACAGAGTATTAGTAATCTTTATTAAGCAGTGTTTGTAATTTAACAACTTTTCTAAGACTTTTTGCTTTAGATCCTTAGATTTACACTTTTATGAAATGGGAAATCAGTTTTTCCCCAAGCAATTTACATATGAGGTCTGCTTCATGGGAATATTTTTCGGTGCAAATTTGTATGCATTATATAATGAAAAATGAATCAGAATATTCAATATATAAAATGTAATATATTTTCATAAGTCAGCACCAAGGTAGTTAATATTACTGTTGCTGTGGTTTGTTTCAGCAAAAAGCTATGCACATTGAAATAGCTCATGTTTTTTTGTAAAGTATTTCAACTATGTAAGTAATATATATGTAGGCATATATTTTTATTTTTAAGCTCTATTGAATATTAGAAGAAGGCAGACTGGGACAGATTTTTGAAGAGCATATCAGACCTGGAGTTTGAAAAGCAATGAAAACACCACAGAAATATTTCTTACTTTCTACCAAAATTAATGCTGATAAGAAGCCTACAGACTTTGGAGGCATTTACAGATTTATGATATAACTTACATATGATTTAAATGACATGGCAGAATTACATTTACTGTATTAATCATAATCCTAATTTTCTGCTGTTTATACAGGTCCTATTTCTAGATTAACTAAGGGTGGATTTACCTAATTAAGTAAGTTATTGGAGCTTCCTGGCAATGGAAACTGCAGTGAAGCTTCAGCAGTGATTATAAACCCTTCTGGAACTACCATGTGTGAGATTTTAGCAAAGACAACATTTAGTAACACTAATGATGTATTTCTTCATACAGCATTCAAAGGTTCAGTGCCTCGAGTCCAGATGTACTGAAAGGGAAACAGGCACCTAGTGTAGAAATGACATGATTGAGTTGAACCTTGACTTTGAATGTCCTTTCTCATTCCCTACTTGGTCCTGAAGACATGTGACTTCCTCAGCCCCTTAAACATTGACCTTAATGTCATCTAAACTTCTTCTGTGGTCTTGGCCCTGAGGCACTTCCAGTTTGCCACTGGTGGGCAGGTTTGGATTTCTCCTGCATGCTGAAGGGTCTGGGGACCACAGAACTGCCCTAGCAGAAGAGATGACTGGTGGAGAAACTCGTGTGATGAACTCAAGGTGTCTTGAAAGATACAAACAGAGCACTACAATTATCAGCACTGGTTGTGTTTTAAATAGACATTTATAAAGCAAAATGGGCTTTTTTTTAAATTAGTGGCCAGTGGATCTACTTAAAACATCTGATGGGAGGAAGTTGCTCTTCACTGCAAATAATTTGGGTCAGTCAGGAAGAAGATACATGACTGTGTGCCAATAATGGCTGATAAGAAAGTTTAGAGATCTATTCCCTAGGCAATAAAAGGAAGAAAACAGTAGACTGGTCTGAGCAAAGCATTGATGTGCATCCTTCAAGTCTTGGCAAAATGAGAATTCAGTTTGCTTGCAAATGCTGGAGGGTGCTTGGAGACTGAGAGGACAGCAGTTGATTGTCTTAAGAGGTTTTTGTCATTTTATAGTGTTTGTTTGAATTCAGGCAGTAGAATACTGAGGGAATATATTGTTGCCAGTCACTTTATCTTTTTTTTTTTTTTTTTTTTTTTAAAATGACAGGCATATAAATTACATTTAACAGAATGGAGTGAGGATTTTTATCACCTAGAGGAATTAATCTATGTAATAGGCTGTCCTAAATGAGACATCTGTCACAGCCTGTATCTCATTTGGGAAGATGGATTCTGTACTTAACGAGTAGCTTCTAGGTACTGTGGTAGCTGCCAGGGGTCTATTAGTAAGTGATGTGGTGCAAGAGGAATTGATCAAGATGGCACAACATGTGATGACAAGGAGCTGACTCCTCCATTATATGTGACCTGAGCAGTACTTTGGACTAACTGTGGCCTGACCCTGAAGACTGGACACCCAGGAAGGCTGGAGCACATTAGGCATTCTTCAGGAGAGCATCGCTTTCAGGTTAATTTAATCCAAATGTCATTCTGTTCATGTGTCCCAAGCAGTTCCACAATGAGAAGGGAGATATGGGGAGCTCAGGCAGTTGGGAAGCACATTCCTAATTTGAATTAAGACACTTATGTAGACATATCCACGGAATGTGAAGCAATGGAAACCATACCCAGGCCCACTTGCAGAGTAGGTATTTTGCCTGATCCCTGCAGCCACCTGGAGGTTTGTTGGCAAAGTGTCAGCTAATGAAAGGCAGGGAAGGGTGGGGGAGTAGGTGTTCCCTGCTAATTTTTTATAGCTCTGTCATCTGCTGGATATTGGTCCTCCAGCAGTCCATTGTGACTAAAGCAACCGATTACAAAGAAGATTTTTTTTTTTTTTTTGCTGTCTTCTTCCTTGTTGGTAAGATGGTTTCAGAAGTCGACTATACTCTCTTGGCTGGCTGCCAACCAAGGAAAGTTGGTGCTGAGGTATGTAGAATAACTCATGGAGGACTGTGGGAGAGTCTTCTGAGGGAACCTGGACAGCATCCAGGCTCTGGATCTGAAACCATCTCAACAAGCTAAAGGCTTGGAGATTCCCACCTTTTGCTATAAGCATGCTGCTGACTCATGGAGATACCAGATCACCAGAAATTCCTCATTTGGCTGTTGAGGGGAGTGACAGCCTGCCGCGGTTGTGGTAAAGAAGCAGCTGATAGTGCCTGTGCATGCTGCAGGAATATCGATCGCTTCTTTCATCCTGTTCTGGCAGGAGGTGGAAGAATGCTTTACTGATCTTATAAGTACCACAATGCATTAGAAAGATGGTTTCAGTACTGCAGACAGAGTACACAGTTTTCCGGAGCCCAAGTATCCTACTGCAATGTGGAGTTGCTTAACACTTAGTGCGGACAGAGGAACCAGCTTGCTCTTGTGGATTTGTGGAATAGTTTATTCCTTCCTTCTGGCTAATTTTTGTCCTTTCCATGCATGTTATGAGTCAGCATCTCTCCTGAGTTCTGTGGGGACAGAATTCCTTGGCATGACTTTAGATAAAAGATACCCACATGTATGCATTCTTCCCAGCAACTACCTGAGGAAGACCAGGGTTACTGTACATGGACTGGACAGGTAGATGGACACTGCCTCTGAAATTGTGGTGGACCCAACAACTGGTG